ATGTAGAGTGTACTGAAGTCTGTTGTAGCCTTGATGTAGAGTGTATTGAAGTCTGTTGTAGCCTTGATGTAGAGTGTACTGAAGTCTGTTGTAGCCTTGATGTAGAGTGTACTGAAGTCTGTTGTAGTCTTGATGTAGAGTGTACTGAAGTCTGTTGTAGCCTTGATGTAGAGTGTACTGAAGTCTGTTGTAGCCTTGATGTAGAGTGTACTGAAGTCTTTTGTAGCCTTGATGTAGAGTGTACTGAAATCTGTTGTAGCTTTGATGTAGAGTGTACTGAAGTCTGTTGTAGACTTGATGTAGAGTGTACTGAAATCTGTTGTAGCCTTGATGTAGAGTGTACTGAAGTCTGTTGTAGCCTTGATGTAGAGTGTACTGAAGTCGGTTGTAGCCTTGATGTAGAGTGTACTGAAGTCTATTGTAGCCTTGATGTAGAGTTTACTGAAGTCTGCTGTAGCCTTGATGTAGAGTGTACTGAAGTCTGTTGTAGCCTTGATGTAGAGTGTACTGAATTCTGTTGTAGCCTTGATGTAGAGTGTACTGAAGTCTGTTGTAGCCTTGATGTAGAGTGTACTGAAATCTATTGTAGCCTTGATGTAGAGTGTACTGAAGTCTGCTGTAGCCTTTATGTAGAGTGTACTGAAGTCTATTGTAGCCTTGATGTAGAGTGTACTGAAGTCTGCTGTAGCCTTGATGTAGAGTGTACTGAAGTCTGTTGTAGCCTTGATGTAGAGTGTACTGATGTAAGTCTATTGTAGCCTTGATGTAGAGTGTACTGAAGTCTGTTGTAGCCTTGATGTAGAGTGTCTGTTGTAGCCTTGATGTAGAGTGTACTGAAGTCTATTGTAGCCTTGATGTAGAGTGTACTGAAGTCTGTTGTAGCCTTGATGTAGAGTGTACTGAAGTCTGTTGTAGCCTTGATGTAGAGTGTACTGAAGTCTGTTGTAGCCTTGATGTAGAGTGTACTGAAGTCTGTAGTAGCCTTGATGTAGAGTGTACTGAAGTCTGTTGTAGCCTTGATGTAGAGTGTACTGAAGTCTGTTGTAGCCTTGATGTAGATGTAGAGTGTAGCCTTGATGTAAGTCTTAAGTCAGTTGTAGCCTTGATGTAGGGTGTACTGAAGTCTGTTGTAGCCTTGATGTAGAGTGTATTGAAGTCTGTTGTAGCCTTGATGTAGAGTGTACTGAAGTCTGTTGTAGCCTTGATGTAGAGTGTACTGAAGTCTGTTGTAGCCTTGATGTAGAGTGTACTGAAGTCTATTGTAGCCTTGATGTAGAGTGTACTGAAGTCTGTTGTAGCCTTGATGTAGAGTGTACTGAAGTCTATTGTAGCCTTGATGTAGAGTGTACTGAAGTCTGTTGTAGCCTTGATGTAGAGTGTACTGAAGTCTATTGTAGCCTTGATGTAGAGTGTACTGAAGTCTGTTGTAGCCTTGATGTAGAGTGTACTGAAGTCTATTGTAGCCTTGATGTAGAGTGTACTGAAGTCTGTTGTAGCCTTGATGTAGAGTGTATTGAAGTCTGTTGTAGCCTTGATGTAGAGTGTACTGAAGTCTGTTGTAGCCTTGATGTAGAGTGTACTGAAGTCTATTGTAGCCTTGATGTAGAGTGTACTGAAGTCTGTTGTAGCCTTGATGTAGAGTGTACTGAAGTCTGTTGTAGCCTTGATGTAGAGTGTACTGAAGTCTATTGTAGCCTTGATGTAGAGTGTACTTAAGTCAGTTGTAGCCTTGATGTAGGGTGTACTGAAGTCTGTTGTAGCCTTGATGTAGAGTGTACTGAAGTCTGTTGTAGCCTTGATGTAGAGTGTACTGAAGTCTGTTGTAGCCTTGATGTAGAGTGTACTGAAGTCTATTGTAGCCTTGATGTAGAGTGTACTGAAGTCTGTTGTAGCCTTGATGTAGAGTGTACTGAAGTCTGTTGTAGCCTTGATGTAGAGTGTACTGAAGTCTGTTGTAGCCTTGATGTAGAGTGTACTGAAGTCTGTTGTAGCCTTGATGTAGAGTGTACTGAAGTCTGTTGTAGCCTTGATGTAGAGTGTACTGAAGTCTGTTGTAGCCTTGATGTAGAGTGTACTGAAGTCTGTTGTAGCCTTTGATGTAGAGTGTACTGAAGTCTGTTGTAGCCTTGATGTAGAGTGTACTGAAATCTGTTGTAGCCTTGATGTAGAGTGTACTGAAGTCTGTTGTAGCCTTGATGTAGAGTGTACTGAAGTCTGTTGTAGCCTTGATGTAGAGTGTACTGAAGTCTGTTGTAGCCTTGATGTAGAGTGTACTGAAGTCTGTTGTAGCCTTGATGTAAAGTGTACTGAAGTCTGTTGTAGCCTTGATGTAGAGTGCACTGAAGTCTGTTGTAGCCTTGATGTAGAGTGTACTGAAGTCTGTTGTAGCCTTGATGTAGAGTGTACTGAAGGCTGTTGTAGCCTTGATGTAGAGTGTACTGAAGTCTATTGTAGCCTTGATGTAGAGTGTACTGAAGTCTGTTGTAGCCTTGATGTAGAGTGTACTGGAGTCTGTTGTAGCCTTGATGTAGAGTGTACTGAAGTCTGTTGTAGCCTTGATGTAGAGTGTACTGAAGTCTGTTGTAGCCTTGATGTAGAGTGTACTGAAGTCTGTTGTAGCCTTGATGTAGAGTGTACTGAAGTCTGTTGTAGCCTTTGATGTAGAGTGTACTGAAGTCTGTTGTAGCCTTGATGTAGAGTGTACTGAAATCTGTTGTAGCCTTGATGTAGAGTGTACTGAAGTCTGTTGTAGCCTTGATGTAGAGTGTACTGAAGTCTGTTGTAGCCTTGATGTAGAGTGTACTGAAGTCTGTTGTAGCCTTGATGTAGAGTGTACTGAAGTCTGTTGTAGCCTTGATGTAAAGTGTACTGAAGTCTGTTGTAGCCTTGATGTAGAGTGCACTGAAGTCTGTTGTAGCCTTGATGTAGAGTGTACTGAAGTCTGTTGTAGCCTTGATGTAGAGTGTACTGAAGTCTGTTGTAGCCTTGATGTAGAGTGTACTGAAGTCTATTGTAGCCTTGATGTAGAGTGTACTGAAGTCTGTTGTAGCCTTGATGTAGAGTGTACTGAAGTCTGTTGTAGCCTTGATGTAGAGTGTACTGAAGTCTGTTGTAGCCTTGATGTAGAGTGCTGCATAAACGCAGCGAAATAACGCTGTAGAGGATCAGATGGATCGATGCCAGGTAATGACATCATTGTAATGAAAGTGGGAAATTCAAAGTTAGTACAAACTTCTTTTGGCGCAATAAAAAAAATAAATCTGAATATTTCTTAACAGAGGTATGATAAATGAAAATTTGAAATGGTTTTCATGCGAATACATTACATACTTTCAATGAAATTGAAAGCCTTTGTTCATTTCATTAAATAGGCTACACTATGAATATTATTAAATGATTAATTGGGTAGCTGCAAATTTTTTTATACTGTATATCTAATTATTGATTTGGAAGGACATCTGAGAACAATTGCTTAGGTCTACACGTTCATACTCATCTACCCATATAGATTTCAGCAGCAGTTACTAAGTACAGATGTGTGCCAAAAGTGATGGTAATTCTTATTTTATCTCAGTATATTTCATTGGAAATATCATTTTGTAAAATGACTGGTATTGAAACATTTCTTGAAAGTATTTATCACAAATTTCTCAATAGTCCAAGAATTGCTTAGTTGATAAAGACTATTTAGCATTGAAATTAAAAAAAAAATATTTTGTAATTTTTAATCCACATCCAGACATTGAATAATATAGCCAACATTGATTTTGAATGTTAGAACTGATGTTAAGTGGTAAACTATCTTTTAACAGAAAAAAAAAATAAGTAATGGTCTCCTTTTCTTATAAAAGATATTGAATATAATAGTATACAATAAATATTATAACATATAATTTAAATGAAATCAATACTAATTTGCATATGACACTCGGAATACAAAATACTGCCAATCAAATTGAATGATTGTTTCTCTACTGAATGCCAATGTATGATTATTATCAATTTAGAAATTTGTTAAATGTATCTACCAAGCGTTAAAAAATCTAAATCCTTGTCTGAAAATTAAATGCAAAGAACTAGCTTAGTTGAAACAGACAGCGAAACTTGTGAAAAACATCAAATATTGTTAAGCCTTACTATGAAGAAATCAACGAAACGTAGACGTGCAAAAATGAGAACTATATAAATCTGATTTTGCTTTTTATATAGCGTTTTTATTTTCACATAACCTAAACATTAAAATAACATAGTACACTCTATTCTGTACTAAATTTAGTGTAGTCCCATCGATGGACAGTCATGTGATAAATACAAAGTATGTGTACTGAATAGAGGTCATGAACAAGTTTCTATGTAGCAAGGGCATGCCCTGTTTTAAATTAATAATTCAAATAATCAATAATATCTGCATTCTTTGTTCTTTTAGTATTACGTGTGTTCCCTTGCAAAAAGGCGAACCAATAAGGCACCTCGATGTTAAACATATTCAGCCTTTACGCAAAATTAGGTGTATAATTAAGAAAGTACAATCTCTCGATAATTATTGAGTAATTGCACTAAACAATTGTTAAATATTGTTATAAAAAGAAAGATATGTTTTAATAGTCTGTTTATTAATGAAATGCTCTTTGCAATGTAAAAATTACTTTATCTGCCTCTCAAGCATATAAAATACGTCACTTGTACCAAAATGACTTCATATTGAAAAGTTCCTTGCGACAAGTGATTTGTTTATAACCTGCTTTTCGAGATTTTACTAAGCTTCTATTGTTAATGAATTGGTACGTTTTCATGTTGTTTATTATGGAAAGATACATAATAAAACGTTCTCTCAATTCTTTTATTTTGTTTGCATTCATTAAGAAATATTTTTAAATCAGATGAAATGAGAGAATGGTGATAACGAACAGTGAACGATCTCAAAAATTTATTCTTAAATGCATCTTCATTTTTTTCTTAATAATCATAAAGGAAAAACAAAAAAGTATTATTAACTTAGCGTTCAATCACCATTAGTCAATTCATGAGGATTTGTTTAGAAGGAATTGTCCTGATTAAAAAACATGAAATCTTCAAAATTTCATATTAGTTGAATCAGAAACATTTACATGATCATCTTTCTTGAGGACATAAAGTTCATTAACCTCCTCAAGAGTGTTGGGCAATTCTTTCCCAGTTGTTTCGGGTAACCATATTATCAAAATAGTCACCAATACTGACAAAATTCCAAACACCACTCCTGGTCCCCAGGGGATATGAGTTCCCTGAAATTAAAAGTTAATTAAGCTGAGATTTCTGAAATATGTTATATAAATGTCTGTTTGCAGTTTTTTTAAATGATCAACTTCACAAAATAAGGTGAAAAAAATCTTACTTGTTTTTTTAAAAGAATACCAACAGCCCTTGTTTATTTAATTTTTCACATTTAATCAAAATAGATTTGAAGTGCGTTTAGCAAAAACTGCAAAATTATTAAAACCACATTTCTTTTGTAATAACAAAAGGGAAAGCTGTTCTACATATTTAAAATAAAACATAAATCAAAAGTTGATAATTTCATAAGGAAGTCAATGACATATTAATTCTTTATGCGTTAAACTTTTTTTTTCATTATTAGAATACAGAAGTAAACTACTTAATAAAACAACCTTAGAATATTTACAATCATACTTTCGCGCGGAATAATCAAATTGTTTCTTTGTAATGTGTTCAAGGACAACATTTATACGAGGGCCGTTCAAAAATTACGCGGACTGTGTTATTATTTACTCTTACAGACGTCATATAGTTATGAAATTTCTCAGGAATATGTATCTTAAAGATTCCAATAAATTTTTGGCAAAATTTCTGCATTTTATATAAATTTTACTAAAATTATCGGTATGTAGATATCGCCGATGGAGAGGTACGGAGAACGACAAAAAATCTGAAGCAAAAGCATGCGGAGTCCAAAATTTAACTCATTAATTTTCTATAATTCGCGATATTTTCCGACAATTTTTTCAAATGTATCTTTAAATTGTTCTATTATTATGTATTTAGATTTCTGACGTGATATTTGGAGCACTAACAAAAATATAGTGATTTTTCTTTGATGCGTATCCCATGAAAACGACTGTGAAAATGACGTCTCCTGAATTGACGGCGCACCACATTTTGTTAAATTATGTGTAATGCTCGAGATATCGCCAACATAGATAAATATTCAAAATATCCATAATAAAACATGTAGTAAACTAGGGTATTTGGGACATTTGTCCACAAATAGCAAATTGAAATTTTAGACCGTAAAACCTCTGTAAAAAGGCTATACGGGAGGACGGGAAGAAGATTATCGACGAAAACTTTATCCGGACTGTAAAGAACGTGATTCAGAGTCATCAATATCACACTATATCTCATAAGTACCTGCAGTGTTTGGCTTTAAAACAAAATAGAATGTTCTTTACTTGTTTAATAGATTTTAAGCTTGACAAGAAATGGTGTTTGGATGTTGAGTAGATAAGGTAACACAAACTGTACAGTACTCTTGCTAAAATGTTGAGCAAATGAAAGTTCAATCACATATTTTTTTATAATGCCCTTGACGTCGAGGATTTTGCTGCTCCGTGACTTAATAATATGTCCTGAAAAATCACTCAAAATTAATACCAATTTACAACATTTTAATATGAAATTTTGCAGACCATATAAGTAAAGATTCTTTTATATTATTTGTGAATTTTGCCCGATTTTGTCGTCAAATATTTTTTCTGTGCAACAAGTCCACGTAATTTTTGAACGGCCCACGTATAGACCAAACAAAATACTCACAAAAAGTGCTGCGTACGGTGAAATTATCCCTCCTACTCTGGCAGAACACGAGGCAAGTCCTATACCCAGAGCTCTAAAAGAAATGTAACAAACGAGTTCTTAATAATAATGTTAATAACGATAAAAAAGAGCACAGACTGCTTTGTAAAAGACATGAGTTGTCTAAAGACGCTGAATCAAAACATCAGTAAGAAAGACCAATACTGATTAAAAAAATTGCTCAATATGAAACTTCCTTACAATAATTTTAAGTACTTATGATAACTTTGCGTTAATTTTCTTTTGCAAATGTTAAGGGATTTTTGTAATAATAATTAACTGTATACCATACAGAACAAAGTTTATCATCTGACTTCGGCCTGAAAGGCCAGGACGAATTCATTATTTAAAGAATGAGATTTGGACATACAAGGATTATCCATTCATATTTACTGAGCGGGGAATATTAACCTAAATGCAAATCTTGCGACTGGTTTATAAATACAATCAATATACTTCTAGAATGTTTTGAGTTTAAACCTGTTCGAAATAAACTTTTTTTAATGGTGTGAATTACGACAATAAATGATCTTTTTACAAGTTTAAATCCTATTGTAATTTGACAATACTTGCAAGAAACTAATTTCTGCAAATAAGTTTAAATAGGACATTTTTATTAGCATTTTTTTTTAATTATCAAGTTAACTGATTTTATTTTCAAATTCCAAGTATGTCGAAAACGGTTTCCCATGTCAAGAATCAAGGGACTGGCATGCTGGTTTTCAAAAAGTTTCATTTAGGGCCATCAGAGAAACTTAACCAAAAAACTTTCAAAACTGTTCATACATTTTTAAATTCACACCTCTGAAATATGGCTGCAATTGTGGCGTAAATGTACAATAATCATTCAAATCAATGAAACCGACACCAGTTTTCTTATAATGCTTACCTTAGATTTGTGGGGTACACCTCCTCTGTAACTTTACCTTAGATTAGTAGGGTACACTTCCTCTGTAACGTTACCTTAGATTAGTGGGGTATACTTCCTCTGTAACGTTACCTTAGATTAATGGGGTATACTTCCTCTGTAGCGTTTCCTAAGATTAGTGGGGTACACTTCATCTGTAACGTTACCTTAGTTTAGTGGGGTATACTTCCTCTGTAACGTTACCTTAGATAAGTGGGGTATACTTCCTCTGTAGAGTTTCCTTAGATTAGTGGGGTATACTTCCTCTGTAACGTTACCTTAGATTAGTGGGCTGAACATCAACAGTAACTAAACCATAGAAAAGTGGGGAACACCTAATCTGTAAAGTTACCGTATATTAGTGGGTAATACTTCCTCTGTACGGTTACCTTAGATTAGGGGGTACACTTCCTCTGTAACGTTACCTTAAACTTCCTCTGTACGTTACCTTAGATTAGTGGGGTACACCTCCTCTGTAACGTTACCTTAGATTGTGGGGTTATTTTAGCGTTCCCTTATATTATGTTACCTTTTTCTTTCTTATAACGTTTCCTTAGATTAGTGGGGTATATATACGTAACGTTTTTTAGATTAGTGGGGTAACTTCCTCTGTAACGTTACCTTAGATTAGTGGAATCACTTCCTCTGTAACGTTAAAAATTTAAAAGAATTTAACGTTACCGGAGACTGTGTGTGTACATGCTCGTAACGTTTCCTTAGATACAAAACCGTCTGTAATGTTTCCATAGAATATACAAAACATACACAGTGACAGGTGTCTTCGTGGCACGTGTCTCCACCTGAAATGGCACGTGAGGGCAGGTGTCCCTAATTACAGAGGCCGACCATAGTGACTTTTTCAAAAGCGTTTTTTTTTGGAGGGGGGCTTCTCAAGGAAAAAATGAAAAGCAACCCACCAACCCCCAATAAAAAAAATAATAATTTAATAAATTAAAAAACAATATTCACTATTCATAGTAAAATAATAGTATGATAATACTCAGCCCCCAGCCAATTCGATGAATGATTCTATATCTGACCAGTTTATATTAATATATTAATTCATATTGAAACAAAATCTTTATCACTTTCTAAACTTGTATTTAAAAACTTGAAACACTAAAAATGTAATTTTGACAAACCAACTGAAGATTTTTTTTCCTGACGGATTACCCCGGTATATAAGAAATACCAACCTCTGGTATCTAACATAAATGCCTGTTAAGGTACCTTGATGTCTTGTGAATACATGTGAATACATGTAATTATGTAAAAATAATTCTTCATTGTCAATTGAAAAATATTGGGAAAAAAAATAATTATTTTATTGAGGAACGTCTCACCTGTCCTTAATCAGTAATCGTAACTAGACATATTTCTTTATTTACTTTTTAATCGATCTTTTTAGTAAACCTTTCCTGTAAATAATTTCATTAAATGTACCCTTCCTTAGCTCTTCCATTTTTTCAAAGGAACATTCATCATGGACAGCTTCCAGAAAGTAGGATCGGAAATGATTGATTTCTACATAACTGCATGCACTTACTTTTTTTCTATTCCACTTCACGCATTTTATACGAGTTTAACAAAACTTATGTGATAAATCAAATTCAAAATTAAATTAAATAAAATTCAGTTAAATAAAATCAAATTAAATTGAATTGCGTTCACGGTGTTGAAATATTAAATTAATCACACAGAAATACACATCTAGTTATTTTAACTGTTTGAAGTTAATTATTTTGATACAGCATGTAAACACTTTTGAAATATTTCTATAATTGGTAAAAATATGGTAACATAATCAAATATTTAACTTTTTGTAAAATAAAAGGTAGGTGGGTTAGTATTGAGATATACTTTCAAAGTTTCCCTGCCTGGGAAACATGGGGAAAACTAGACATTGGTGGCTTCCATGTCGGGAATCTGCATGGAAACCACCGAGGCATGTTTACATGGTTTCCTATCTTGGGAAACTTACGGGAAACCAGAGGTTGGTTGTTTCCATATCGGGAATCTACATGGAAACCACCGCGGCATGTTTCCATGGTTTCCTATCTTGGAAAACTTACGGGAAACCACAGGTTGATTGTTTCCATGTCGGGAATCTATGTGGAAACTACCGGGGTATGTTTCCATGGTTTCCTACCTTGGGAAACTTACGGGAAACCACAGGTTGATTGTTTCCATGTCGGGAATCTATGTGGAAACCACAATGTGGTTTCCATAAAATGGAAACTATATGGAAATTACTGATGTCACGATTCCCATATGTTTCCATCGATTTTCCAAATTTGGGAAACCTGGCTTTTCGTCCTGTGACATGTTTTAGTATTTTCCATTTAATATATAATTTTGAATGTATATATATTTTCTTCAAGTTTAATGTGAATTGGTGATGTACATATCACGCAGAATTGAAGATGGGTATGTTTTCATGAAGCGCGAACGCACCACATGAAATTTGTCTAAGTGACAAGATTTTGTATTCTTTCTGAAACATTGCAATGGAATATATTCAATACGAAGTATTAATACATTTTTGTTAGGAAGTGTTCAAAGCATGGTTTAAAATATAACTATACTTTCAACAGAAATATATGAACTAGGATCAGCTTGAATGCTCTTATTTATCTCCAGACTATTTCAATCTTCAATATTACACTGTAATATTGACTTAAGAATATGTTTGCTGATTACAAACCTTCTTTTTAAATATATCATGAGATAATCAAAACTATTATAGTATCAATGAAGCACCAGTAATTAAGTTATATGCATTGCTAAAAATACAGGAAAATTAAGGACCCTCTCTACGCTGCACACTAATTTCAGGGTACTTGCGTGTAGTTAGACTGACCCACCATTTGACATAAAACAGAATAAATTGTAATCTGCACTGTATAACGAAATCTTAAATAAACCCTTGTATACTAAACATTATGTTAGACCAAGATAGAGTAATTGATAACTTTATTTGCATGTATTTTCTCCATTTGAATAATCAAAAGCAATTTTTCTTTTTCATTACTTCACCGTCTTCAAAGATTTTTCCTGGATAAAGAAGGCACGCTCCAT